TGGGACTGGCTCTGATGGAAGCGGAGAAGCATTTTCCTGGCAAGGCTGAAGCTGGATCCTGGAAAAAATATCTCACATGGCCCCCAACTGCTCTTATATATATATATAGAAAACTGTGAAATATTGGATCCACATATTGTTTTATGATCTACTTTCTGAAAAGGCCTTCCCGGGCCTTCGGCTGATCTTCTGGGACGGGCTCTGATGGAGGCAAAGCAGGATCATCCTGCCACGGCTGAAGCTGGATCATGCTCCCATCAACATGATCCCCTGCTATACAAGTACGAAGCCTTTTTGCTCTACAGAGCTTTTTTTTATATGTATACTGACACTGAGGGGTGAACTGTCCTTTGCCATCCAACGCTGGCAAAACTTCTTGACATTGTCGGGGTGTGAATCCAGTGGAAGGCTTGGCCCGGGCAGTGCCTTCTTCTTTTGCTTCTTCTTGATGGGGCTCTCCTGAGACAAGAAAAAGAGCTGCGCTAGAGCTACGTTTTTCGCTATATATATATATATATAAAAGCCCAAGAACTCCTGCTTGAGACATTCAACATATCGTTCATTCAACAAGAACAGCTTCAAAACAGCCTCTCGTGGCTCCAAACTCACCAAATGAAAGAACATCCCTATATATATATATATATCAAACCTGCCTCCTTGGCTTCAGACGCTGGCTGTGCCTGCAACTGGCTCGGTAGACGGCATTCCGTGTTTTGCAATTATATATATATATATATTCATACACAATTCATGGACTCCTTGGCTTTTGTTTGCACTCCCGGCCTCCAGAGGGCCGTTCCACTCAGGAATGCTATCCTGAGCGGAGCGTTTCTTTTTTGTTATAATATATATAGGGAATATATATATATATATTCCCTATAGTTCTTCGTTCGTGCAAAAAGAGCCTAAAAGAGGAGCCAAGTAGCGTCCGGTGGCAAAAGAATGCTAAAGAGCTGCTGGCATCTGGGCTGAAGCAAATCCCAGTGGCCAACCGAGCGGCCCCCACTGAAGCAGCGCCAGCTGAAAAGCAGGTGCACTGGTACACCACCATCATTCTGTGATGTTGCAGGACCAGTCCAAAAATCCTCTGGTACTTTGACTCCTGTCTGCACAATGCTTTTCCAAGTGCCACATTCTATGGTCACCCGAATTTGCATGCCAAGCACTCTAGCAACCCATGGGACGTCTTCAACTGCCATGGACCCATTTGCTGCTACATCGTCAATTTCCTGGTGCAACGCTGGAAACTGCAGTCGTGCAGAGTCACCTCAACTTTGGAATGACATTGAAATTTGATCACCCTTACCCCTGTTTTGGGCCTTTTGCTGGTGTGTGTGTGTGTGTGCGTGTGTGTCACACTCCGTACCAACCGTGATGCAGAAATATTTGTAGTGTATTTTTGCAATGGTTTATTTTGCTACTACCGAGTGCAAGCATCAGCAAATCCAACCAAGATTTCACAGCTTATTGGCAAGCCAGGGCACATACGCTCTGGCAAAGAGCCTGGGCCTCCTCCGTTTCCAGCCGCTCTTGAGACATGTTCACAGGATAGCGCGCTTCGTTCCTGGAAAGGGACACCTTGGAATGTGCCCACAACGTGTGTGAAATTCCATCCACTGAAACTTGGAATGCCTGTTTGGAAGTTACTGAAAGCTTCAAAAGTCCAGGGGCCCCCCAAACAATTGGCAGATTTTTCGAGAAAGATATGTCAGCAGCACAGATTCGTGGTACATCTGACCCAAAAATCCGGGATCCGGGGGGGTGACCATTTTTCATTGTAAGTATATGAAGATCATATATATATATATATATACACATCCACTATATATGTATGTATACAATATGTGAATATAGCCATGGAGCAGCATACAAATGAGCAGATTCTATCACCCAGCTCCTCTGAACCGATTGGAAAGCTTTAATATCCTGGGCTGCCAAAATGGATCTCCAACCGCAACGTCCATCTCCAGCGATTTTGATGACCTCAAATGGAAGCTTGGATTTGGCTTTGCCGTCCTGATCCTGATCCCGAGAAGAGTTCCCTGAAGCATGTCGAAACACAGCGCTGCAAACTTCTTCATAGAGCTTTTGGCGCTTTGTCAGGAACAGGTTTGACAGCTTGCAGATGTTGGCCACTTTGTTGTTCTTTAAATTCTGGTACGTCGGCTTTACTTGCTGAAGATCTTTCTCGCAGGTCTCCCAGAACTCAAACTTTCCAGGTGTAAGGGGATCTACCTGCAGTCGGTGCGCTCTCAGAACATGGAATGCCTGTTTTCTCCCCTGTAACATTGGGAAAAACTGCTACGCAAAACCAAACAACATTATGCTTCTGACCCTGATTTCTACAGTACAGGTGAGAAGATCGATAAATGTGTATATATATATGTATATTAGTATACATATACATTGCTAAATTTCATAATCTAGGGTTTTTAAGCCGAACTTAACTTCCGCAAAGGATTTTAACTTTTAACATGGTTGGATAAGCTCGAGCGACCCTGATCGGAGGAAATCTTTAAAAACATGAACTTTGCATGAACTGGCGTCTTTTAGGTTTAAAACTCTCCTTTTAGGTTTAAAACTCTCATCTCACTTCAAACTTCAAACCCAAGTATGCAGCTTGCAGCGTGGCGCAGCCGCAGCCGCAGCGATACTTTTTTCCGACACAGTTTGCCTTTCGGTCCGGTTTGTTTGCTATGCAATGCAACTGTGCTACGACCTGTGCCGGCGCCTACAACTCTACGTAAGCAAGTGCTTGTGGTAAGCACTGAGCACGAAACTAACAGCCCGATTCTAGTAGGAAAGAAAGAAAGGAAACGGAACTTTGCCCAAAAAGGCCTGCCACACAGAACATGGTGAGTAGTAGCAGTAGTAGAAGTTTGCTTATTATTTTGTTTATCAACCGCTGTAAGGCCTTGGCAACACTGTAGCGGGCAATTTTTGCCAGCTAGCCCAATCTCAGTAAAGGTACTGAGTTCCGGGTTCCAGCTAGTCAACTGCTATTCACTGAGTGACAAACAGTTTGAAATTGAATCAGAATCACAACTCACTGGACCAATTCATAGCTTCCACCAATTCACTTGGCTTCCGGAGCACCCACATCTGGAAGCAATGGCCGAAGCTTCCCACCGAGCCCAATGAAAGGAAGTGAGCCTGATTTTTCTGCGTAGTGACTCGTGACTCCTGATTTGTGACGGCTTGCGTCAGTTCTAAAACACTTGAACTTCAACCCAGTGACCGACCCAGTTAGTATTGGTGAAAGTTAAAACAATAAAACAATGTCTTAGTCACAGTCTTAGTCTTAGTCAATACTTTGTGTTTTGTGTTCGTGTCAATCTGTCCTTCAACCTTCTCATTTTCTCATGCCTTCCTTCACATGGCCCTCTTCTTACCTTTTGTCCTGAGTTCCTTCAAGGCAATCTTTTCCAAGGCTGCCGAATCTAGAACTTTGGCCTTGGCCCTAGCCTTGGCCTTTGCTTTGGATGCCGCCGCTTTGTGTTTGGGAGCTGCTCTTGCCTTGAACTTAGCCGCTGCGGACTTGGGAGCCCCCTTGGCCTTGGCCTTCGCGGCTGCCGCCCGAGAAGCTGTTTTGGCAGCTTTGCCATTGGCGGCCTTGGCGGATGGATTTGGCATGTAGGATTCATCCGGCATCGTCGCCTCATCACAAAGACTGTCATCGTTCCCCTTGCTCTTCTTCTCGCGAGTCGGAGTCGCATCATGATTCTGGGTACGGTCATCACGACGGTCATGATCCTTCTTCTTCTTATCTTTCTTGTCTTTCTTATCCTTCTTCTTCTTGTCACGATTCTTGTCCTTATCCTTGTGATGGCTCTTTTTCTCCTGCTTCTCTGACTTCTTGTGGCTCTTGTCAATCGCAGCCTCCTTTGACTTTGACTCTTTCTTGTTGTCCCTGTCCCTGTCCTTGCTTTTCTTCTCATGGTCCTTGGGCTTTTTGCTACTGCTCTTGTCATTTGCATCCTCCTTTGACTCTGACTCCAGCGGCTGAGGGAGTGAAAAGCCACCACCGGCGACAACTCCATCAGGGAGTGACTCTGAATGCTTTGCCAAGCTGCTGAGAACAGTGCTGTTCTCATCGCTATTGAAGGGAGTAGCCACTTTCACCTTGAAGAATCTATCAATGCGAGTCTTTGTGTCGCCATTGCCTTTGCCGTCTGTATTGCTGTATTGTGGTGCTGCTGCTGTCCTGATCCGCTGCTGGGTTTCTTGGGTAGCCGGAGTAGTAGCTGGCGTGGTTGGTGATGATGTTGCCAGCGGTACTTGTGGCAGAGTCCCATCTGGCTGTGACAGTGGATCCACGAGCGTGGATGAATATTCGGGCTGAATTGCTCCTGCTTGTTGTTCGCTGGCTACATCTTCTGGTGCTGGCTGATTTGTTCCTCCTGGTGCTGCTGCTGCTTGTTGATTTGCTTCTTCTGGTTTCTTTGCTTCGCTGACTGGATCTTCTGGTGCTCCGCTTTCTGGCTGCTTTGCTCCTGCTTGTTGCTTGGCTTCTTCTGGATTCTTTGCTTCTGCTGTGGCA